TGCACACTGGTCCCAATGACCAATATTTTTGCATAAACTAGAAAAATGAAGCTACAGACTTGACACTTGGCACACTATATAGTTACTATATATGCGAAGTCTGGACAAAATTTTGTGCCGATCGGGCAACGCCTTCCTTTCCGCCCCATAGAAATGCACCCCGGGACAAAAATTTACAAAACATCCACGAAAATTGGGCCAATATATCCAATAAATTTTAAATATATATAAAATATCTTTAGTAAAGCCAATAGCCAATATATCCAATAAATTTTAAAGATATATAAAATAACTTTAGTAAATATCCCCTCAATCCCCAATCCCCCCCATACCAATTTTTAACTTCCAAACTGCATAATGCATCTTGAAAAATTATAATATATTTACTTAATTAATTTTTAATCACTTTCAACATCTAAATCAAAGGACTAGGCATCGTTACATTCAAATGTATCCAAGTCATCTTCATCATCATTATCTGTAGTAGGATAACTATTTAGGAAATCGACATTTGGTGGTGTTAAAAGATCATTAAAAGAGCATTTTTTTATTCCAGCATCCACATAAGCAACAAAGTTCTTAATCCTCTTTTTCAAAGGATCTATTTTTTGCTTTAAGTTTCCAAATCGATGCTGCAACACAAAGTTGTAAAGGCTTTCGGTTTCGCGTCCATGTGCCAGCCAATACTCTAGCATTTCTCCATAACATAGGTCTATGTTGTCTAGCAAAAAGTTTTTTTTGGAAAATGGAGCAAAAACGAGCAAAAAGGTTTATGTCATCGTATTGTAAATAAATGCAAGAACAAAACTGCGTTAATAGTTTTTATAATCCGGCACAATCCAACATACTTTTGTTCCAAGAAACACGAAAAATGATAGGTTAAAATTGTTAAAAATACAACTCTACAAAAGCACACATACACAAAGACAAATCACATTAAACAAATATTGCATTAAACATTTAAATTTTACATACCTCCACTAATATTTTCCATTTTACTTTGTTTTAAAATGTTAAGTAGAACTTTTGCAATCTTACTTTAAAGTGTTGATTTTATTTAGCGCGCCAAAAAGTCAACATTTCTGATCAACGAACTGCTGACTTTCAGGGCTACCAAATTTAACAGGGCTGCAATTTCAGTAACGAAATTGCGATTTTTAAATGCAACGTATATTATTCTACGAAGATAAAATGTTTTTTTTTTTCATAACTTTAAAAAAAAAATAGGTTTTTGCAAAAATATTGGGCATTGGGACCAGTGTGCATAGGCAACAGAATCAGAATCATTGAACTTCAAAAGTCCGTTCTCAAAAAACGGTACACAATATGGGCCCTTAAATTTATTTTTATACCCTGACAGAGAATATTATAATTTCAGTCAAAAGTATGCAACGCAGTGAAGAAGACATTTCCGAACCTATAAAGTATATACATTCTTGATCAGCATCACCAGGGGAGTCGATCTAGCCATGTCCATCTATATATATACAACTATATCATATAGGAAAATCAAAAAAAGAACAATAATATCATATAGCTGTAATAGAAACGATGGCAAAATGCAGCGCAAAATCGAAATAGCTTTATTGTTTTTAGTAATATAGGCATAGTCGTTTTGTGATAACTGCTACGTTTCTGTCTGAACTGTAAAAAGTTCGGGCTCATATCTGATAACTGTATGGCGGGGATGAGTTTTAGGTTTTGCGCCTTTAAACATAATCAATTCAGATTTTTAAATATTTAATGAAAGTGGTATAAAAATGAAAAGAATATTCCATCTTAGTGTTTAATAATGTTATATACCTGCGAAAAAGTCCAAATACTGCGGATATTGTCATTGTGGTGAGTGGAGCAGGTTGCCCAAATTCTGGCCATGAAGATCGTCTTCGAAGTTCCAGTCCCACGGGAACATGCAAAATTTTTGAAGCCGTCCGAGAGGTGCAAAGCCTTGATATCACACTTCAATGTGCAGATGTCTCCATGTTTGGATGGAACTTGGGTGCATAATCCAGGGTCTGTTTGACCGCTGTTGGTAATTATATGAAAGTTAATATAGGCCTTTCAATATTCTTACAAAATTTACACGACTTAAAATTATAAAAAGATAGCCTTAAAATAGTTGACACTAACTATACAAATCGAAACCCGACCCTAACACCTGCCGTAACCGAAAATTCAATACCCACTCTATCTCTAAATAAACCTGCAAAAAAAAAAATAACAAGAAAGGAAAGCTAAATTCGGGCGGAGCCGAAGTTGATATACCCTTGCAGAATACTCTGTAAATTATATTCTCCAAAATTATTCATATGATGCATTCTTAATACTCATAAAAAATCCCAACTTCCTAACTTTAAAAACACCAAAGTTATGGCATTTCCAATCATTCAGTTATGTATATGGCAGCTATAGAATATAGTCGGCCGATCCTTATGAAATTTAATATGTCGGATTGATTGGGCAAAAATAAAACCCATAGAAAATCCCAACTTCCTAACTTAACAAACACCAAAGTTATGGCATTTCCGATCAATCAGTTATATGGCAGCTATAAGATATAGTCGGCCGATCCTTATGAAATTTGGTAGGTCGGATTAATTGGCCAAATATAAAACCCATAGAAAATCCCAACTTCCCAACTTTACAAACACCAAAGTTATGGCATTTCCGATCAATCAGTTATATAGCAGCTATAGGATATAGTCGGCCGATCCTTATGAAATTTGGTATGTCGGATTGATTGGCCAAATATAATACCCATAGAGAGTCCCAACTTCCTAACTTAACAAACAGCAGAGTTATGGCATTTCCGATCAATCAGTTATATGGCAGCTATAGGATATAGTCGGCCGATCCCGGCCGTTCCGACTTATATACTGCGTGCAAAGGAAAGAAGGGTGTGTGTAAAGTTTCAATTCGATATCTTTAAAACTGAGAGACTAGTTCGCGTAGAAACAGACAGACGGACAGACAGACGGACAGACAGACGGACAGACAGACGGACAGACAGACGGACAGACGGACAGACGGACAGACGGACATGGCTATATCAACTCAGGAGGTGATCCTGATCAAGAATATATATACTTTATAGGGTCGGAGATGTCTCCTTCACTGCGTTGCACACTTTTGACCAAAATTATAATACCCTCTGCAAGGGTATAAAAAGAATTAAGAATTAACCATACAGGTGCTTCTGGCCTCCTGAACTATATTAGCCTTCAACTATATTAGCCGAATCCTCAACGTTGGCTATAATAAATAATATATTCTTACTGAAATTTCATTTTGGTCTAAAATAGCCGTCTATGTGACCTAGGTTTCTATTAAAATAAGTAATTTTATATTTTATCGGTCGAAAAATTTGAAAAATTTGCGTCGTTGAAAATTTGAAAGATTGACATTATCTGACCTAGGATAAACCAGCAATTAAGCTATGGACTTGCTATCATATTCAACCTAACAATTATGACTACAATTTAGCTATCAGCAAATCTCATATTATAAGGGTTAGCAAGGGCCGAAATCGATTTATTATTTAACCGAAGCATTATATTGTAATAAAGGCTTATTTATAGAGTTTTGTTTTTTTTACCCGTGCTGAGTTTATTTTAATTTCAGTCAACGCTGAGTCGATCACATTATACGTTCTTCATCAACATCAAAAGGCGAGTCGATCTAGCCATGTTCATCTGCTTCACTCTTATTTGTGCAATAAATAAAATGCAAATATCGTTGGAAATACATTTTTTTAACAAATCTTGTTATTAGATTTATTTTCAAGCCTTCAATCGATTTATATATATTGAGAATAGTTTTTCGATGCTGTTGCAAGGTTAGCTTGCGGCGTTTCATGTGTTTCAGGTGATTCGGTTTTTTGAGTTGGAGAGAAGGTAAGCCAGCCAAGGCACAGCTCTGCTTACTCTCGAACAGATTGTAGCCTTCAGGACAGTGACAACGGAAGAAGCCCTTTGTAATCTCACAAATGTGTTCACAGTAGCGCTTGGTTATCCAGTTTTTGGGTCTTGATATTTCAATTCACATTCGTTGATGTCTTGCACACTTTGTGACTGAGAAGACACCGTTGTCCTCCGGCAATGTCTGATTTGGGGCTACGAGTGTGGCCTCTGTTGACAGCGATAGGAACCTATAAGGTTCTCGCAGCCACCTTCACAGTCCCACGACAAAGCGGAATTCTTGCATTCGTTAATGTCTGGAGTGAATCGTGGTGAGAAATAAAATTTTGTATTTGAAATGTAATATATACATACCCAAACAAGTTTTGCCGTCAGATTCATCTATTTCATAACCACTTTTACAGGAGCATACGAATTCCCCCGGCAAGTTGTTGCACAATTGTGAGCAACCCCCATTGGACTCCTCGCATTCGTCGATATCTGCAAGAGAATATTGTTTTCAAAATTTATCAATATGCCTGGAATCTTTTCACCCACCTTCACATCTGCATGGATCATTGGGATTTACATAGTAACCCCCATAACATTCGCATTTGTTAGACGATTGGTTGCATATATGGGCACAACCGCCATTATTATCCTCACAGTTCTGAAATGAAGACTTTAAAATATCTTGTTGGTTCAACAAATGGTCTATAAGTTAATACTTTAGCTATGGGTGTCGATTTACTGACTTCGTCTTTACCATATGTAATTCGACGAATGCACTTGAGTCGGTTACCCAACCATTTATAGTTTGAACAGAACATGGCACTATCACCGGGATAAAAGGTTTCGTAGTTGTCATTGCAGACATAGTTGGCCACCAGGAAGAGTCTTTCTCCATTCCGACGAAGAGCGACGGTGGCAATACCATTATTAATCCTTGGAGGTGCGAGCCAATCGCAAGTTCGCAACATAATCAATTCAGATTTTTAAATATTTAATGAAAGTGGTATAAAAATGAAAAGAATATTCCATCTTAGTGTTTAATAATGTTATATACCTGCGAAAAAGTCCAAATACTGCGGATATTGTCATTGTGGTGAGTGGAGCAGGTTGCCCAAATTCTGGCCATGAAGATCGTCTTCGAAGTTCCAGTCCCACGGGAACATGCAAAATTTTGAAGCCGTCCGAGAGGTGCAAAGCCTTGATATCACACTTCAATGTGCAGATGTCTCCATGTTTGGATGGAACTTGGGTGCATAATCCAGGGTCTGTTTGACCGCTGTTGGTAATTATATGAAAGTTAATATAGGCCTTTCAATATTCTTACAAAATTTACACGACTTAAAATTATAAAAAGATAGCCTTAAAATAGTTGACACTAACTATACAAATCGAAACCCGACCCTAACACCTGCCGTAACCGAAAATTCAATACCCACTCTATCTCTAAATAAACCTGCAAAAAAAAATAACAAGAAAGGAAAGCTAAATTGGGCGGAGCCGAAGTTGATATACCCTTGCAGAATACTCTGTAAATTATATTCTCCAAAATTATTCATATGATGCATTCTTAATACTCATAAAAAATCCCAACTTCCTAACTTTAAAAACACCAAAGTTATGGCATTTCCAATCATTCAGTTATGTATATGGCAGCTATAGAATATAGTCGGCCGATCCTTATGAAATTTAATATGTCGGATTGATTGGGCAAAAATAAAACCCATAGAAAATCCCAACTTCCTAACTTAACAAACACCAAAGTTATGGCATTTCCGATCAATCAGTTATATGGCAGCTATAAGATATAGTCGGCCGATCCTTATGAAATTTGGTAGGTCGGATTAATTGGCCAAATATAAAACCCATAGAAAATCCCAACTTCCCAACTTTACAAACACCAAAGTTATGGCATTTCCGATCAATCAGTTATATAGCAGCTATAGGATATAGTCGGCCGATCCTTATGAAATTTGGTATGTCGGATTGATTGGCCAAATATAATACCCATAGAGAGTCCCAACTTCCTAACTTAACAAACAGCAGAGTTATGGCATTTCCGATCAATCAGTTATATGGCAGCTATAGGATATAGTCGGCCGATCCCGGCCGTTCCGACTTATATACTGCGTGCAAAGGAAAGAAGGGTGTGTAAAGTTTCAA